ATATCTCAAGGTCATCAAGGTCGTGAGTCAGTGATCGACTTTGCTCTTCCAACTCATCCTACTTCAACTACATCTGGTGATCTATCTCTAGCATCAACGTAACAGAACTGAAAAAAAATTCTTTTTTCCCCTCTGTTAGAGCAACTCCAACAGCATCATGTATACCTAAAATTTACACATTTTGTACAATTTTAACCCAAAATCACATCTCCAACAGCACAATGGAAAAATGCAAAATTTATTGGATTTCAACTTTGCATATTCAAAGTTGAGAAAATCAAAATTGCAATTTAACAAATTGGATAAAAATAAAGAATAATAAAAATTCAACAACCCATCCCTTTCAACCACAAAATCTGCAGTAATAAACTCCAACTGCCAATATCAACTACCAATTTAATTAATCAACCACCACTGTAAAAAAATTTAACACCAATCAACACTATAAATTGTGGTATTTTGTTTCATAAAAAAAATCACCCTCAACTGAAAAAAAAAAAAACACTTGTATCTGAAAAAAAAATTAAAGAGGTAAAACAACTTACATGAAATTTGAATCCGTCAATGGAAAATGGTAGAACTAGTTCTCTACCACCATTTCTCTACTGGACGAGAGTCACAATAAATTTTTCTTTTTTTATTTTTATTTTTATTTTTATTTTTATTTTTATTTTTCCCCCTGTCTTGTTTCCCTTTCTTCTTCTGGTTTTCTGCGTCTCTTCTCTCGGGACTTTGTGGGAGGGAGAAATAATGAGATATAGAGAAAGCTCTAGAAAGTAGAAATAATATATTAACTTAAGTAATGTATTTAGTGCGTATTGTTTTTTTATTATAAGAGGAGAGTTATTGGCTAATTTTTTGGTCCATTGATGTTATTTAAAAAATATAAAAAAATTACAGTTATTATTTTCCACATAATATGTTTCCATGTATAATTGTAATTAATAAAATAATGAGTGTTTAGTTCTTTTAGTATACGTATATATAATGATTTATTTTCTTTTTCAATATATTTTAATTCCAAACAATATCTTAACTAAATAAATAGTGATGAAAATATTTATATTTCATATGCAGATGGATTCAAGTGGATATTTTACAGATATGCTCAAAGAGAATGAAGAATTTGAGCAAGAATCTTTGTATGGTAGTTATCCAGTGGAAACGGAAAAAACAAATAATTCTTCAAAACGCATAAAAAACTTTTCAAACGACGAGGACATCCTCCTTATATCCGCATACCTCAACACATCAACAGATTCAATACATGGAAACCAACAAAAATCCGATACTTTTTGGGCAAAAGTGACCAAGTATTTTGAAACATATGGTGACAACTCTCAGCGTTCACAATATTCTCTAACGAGCCGATGGGCTGTAATCAACAAAGATTGTTCAAAATTTTCTTCTTGTTATAAACAGGTTCAAGAATTGCAAAAAGGTGGCACAACAGAGCAAGACAGGGTATATTTCTATCTTATACTATTTTAAAAAAAAAAATTGTCATAATAATTAACCTGGTATTATGTTTTTAGATACTCCGTGCCAAACAAATGTTTCACGAAACCACAAATAAACAATTTTGGATGGACCATTGTTGGAACGAACTGAAAAATCACCCAAAGTGGAATATTGCTACAACAAGTCAACGTTCCAATAAGTCGTCCAAAAAGTTTGTCGGGGCAAGTCCACAGTCTTCGTCGCCTGCAACTAATGATAGCGGTGTGAACCTTAGATTCGACGATCTAGATTTTAACGAGTTCGAGAGACCAATGGGTACAAAAGTTGCAAAAGCGAAAAAAGGAAAAGAGCATGTCCAAGAAACTCAAAGTTTTGTTGCCGCCTCGTTTTTTGAGGAATGTTCAAAGGATTATGCTAAGGCGGAACATCAAAAGAAAAAGAGGTTTGACCAAGTGTTCATATTCCAACAAGAATACCTACAATTGGAGAGGGAAAAACGAACCGACTTGAAGAAAGATACGGACATAAAAATTATGATGATTGACACCACTGGCATGGATGAAATGATGCAGAATATTTCAAGAAACTAAAGATGGATGTTATGTCAAGATTGTCCTAGTCTGGATATGATATTTGGAATTTTGTACTGAATGTATTAGCACATTTAGTATTATGTCTCATTTTGGTTTAATGTATTAGAATACCAGTTTACTTTTGTCTAATTTTATCTTAATGTAATATCATATCATCATGACGGTTGTATATCATTTATTTTGAAAAATATATTTTCTATATCTTAACAAATGGGTATTGAACATTTGACATGGAATAATAAATTAAATCCAAGAACTGCAAGGTAAACAAGTAAAACTAAAATGAAGTATAGAACATAGATTAATAAGATTCTATACATAAACTAAAATACATATTTATTCTCCTCCATGAATCTGCTATAAGTGTTCAATGAGGTCTGCTTGGAGTTGTGTATGGTTTTCCCTATTTCGGATGCGCCTATGAACTTGAAGAAATTCCATGAACTCGTTTGTGGGCTCACGGGATATCTTTATATTCGGAAGTTTTTGAAGTCTATCACAATCTAAAACATAGTTACTGCCTCTTTGATCCTCAACAATCATGTTATGTAGTATGACACACGCGTTCATTATACTTCGAAGAGTTTCTAAATCCCAAATCGTGCTGGTCCGCGAACGATTGCAAATCGTGATTGGAGAACCCCAAAAGCTCGTTCTACGTCTTTTCTTGCCGACTCTTGAGCTTTTGCAAAAAAATGTTGCTTCAATCCTTTTGGAATAGAAATTGTCTTCACAAATGTTGACCATTTTAGGTATATTCCGTCAGCCAAATAATACCCCGTCTTATAATCATGTCCATTAATTGAATAATTTGCAACGGGAGAGCGTCCAACAACTAATTCACAAAAAATAGGTGACCGATCAAGCACATTGATGTCATTGAGTGATTCCGGCAATCCAAAAAATGAATGCCATATCCACTACATGTGAAGCCACTGCTTCTAAAATAATCGTTGGTCTATGGACGTGCCCCGTGTACATTACTTGCCACGCAGTCGGACAATTCTTCCAGTGCCAATGCATACAATCGATACTTCCTAACATTCCAGCAAACCCATGTTCCGCATTAAATGCCAGTATCGCCTAACATCCTCGTCGTTTGGCGCCCTTCTGTATTAGTCCCCAAAAATCTCATTGATTGCTTCGACAAACCTCCGAAGACTTTCTATGGCAGTACTTTCTCCAATGCGTACATAATCGTCCACGGAGTCGGCTGATGCTCCATAAGCTAGCATTCTCATTGCAACTGTTATTTTTTTAGTGGATGACAAACCGAGACTTCCCGCTACATTCCTTCTTTGTATAAAGTAGGTATCATGACCCACAACAACATTATGTATTCGGAGAAATAAATTTCGACTCATTCGAAACCTCCGACGAGAATATTTGGCCTCGGGAAACGTCAGATGAGGGGCAAACTAATCTTTCCAAAGTCGCTCATGGCCCTCCACTCTATCGCGGTTTATAGTAGAATGGCCAGGAATTAATCCACGCCGACACGATTCATGTTGTCGACTAGAATTTTCTTCTTTTTCTTCTACTATAGCCGCAGCTAAAAGTGGTCGAAGATGATTTTGTTCATCAAAAAGATCTTGATTGTCAAAAAATGCATGAATGGATTAAAGAAATTATCCATTGAGAATTACAAATAGGCTGCGACTATATGCAAGACGAAAACCACTTGTGCAAGACCAAACTAAATTTTTCAATGTATAAATACTATAATACCCTTACTTGTTAAAAAAATAGAAAATCCTAAATGTGCAAGACCAAAAATTTAAAAACACAAAAAACCCTATCACAAGACCACAAAATCACAAGACCAACTCTCATCTTCTCCATCTTCCAAAACCCACAAGATCTTTCTCCTTCCTCCCCCCATAAACCCACAAAACCTAAACATTCAAAATCATCAAAACTCAACAAATCTTACAAAGATGGCAAGTATGGAGTTAGAAGACATCAAAATAGAAGATTCTACGATAGAAAAACCAAGAAAGTATGCAATTTTGGGTTTTTTAGCCAGAATATCGTTTTTCCAAAAAACATCCCGCGCAAACAAATTCGACATGTACAGGTCGAATTTGATGGGTAAAAATCGACATTTGGATGTCGATTTTTAGGCATAAAATTCGACATTTGGCAATGTCGAATTTGTGCTATAAATTCGACATGTCAATGTCGATTTTTCCCTATAAAATTCGACGCTTAATTGTCGATTTGTAGCATAGTTTTTCGACACCTTGGTGTCGATTTTTACCGGTTTCAAATTTAATTTGTTTTCCTCTTTTTTACACATTTTGAGTTTTATCGAATGGAGGTTCTGCAAATGCAGGTCATGAATATTCTAATGGCACTTATGAAGAGGCTTGACTATGTTCGATTTTGTTGCAGGATTTTTTTTTTTCTCAATGTAATATTTTAGAAACAAGATTCTGGTTTTCTTGGCTCATATCTGCAGATGTTTCATTTGGACAGCGCCCTTTGTAATTACAAATTACAGTTGAGTTTAGAATACTTTTGTTGTTATATAATGGATGAATTACAGAACTTATTATTGAGGTTTTAATAGTCAATTTAAAGTCTATATACTACAACGAAATGTTTCCGGAAGAATCTGGAAAAATAAGAATAAAGTTGAATACTAAAAGTCCTCGTCGGTTTTGAACTCGTAATTCTTGGAACCCGCTTGGAGACTTGACATTACAGAAGCCTTCTCTCAAAGAAGTTTGCTTTACCTCTGCATAATCGAGTCAAGTCATACCAATGAGTGCACACGCTAGTGCATCACAAACGAATTCGATCTCGATTTCAACAGCCTCTTGCACATTAAGATGAACCCTCTACATATGAAGTTGCTTCCTTAGTAAACTACATAATCGAGTCAAAAAAACCTAAATTAGTCAACTCCTTCGGGATTAGAATTCAATAAGCTCAACAATCGAAACAAGAATGATAAAATCACATGTATAATAAGCAAGCAAAGTCACAGTGGAGACCCTCGTCTCTAGAAATAAGCTCGTTCGAAATGTCAATCCCGGCCTTAATCCCCTCTTTTTAAGCCAAAAAATAGCACAGAAGCTGAGATATAACACGAAATTAAATCATTTAACTTTACAAATTTAGAACACATAAGGGAATATCGTTCTATATCGTAGGTATTATATTATACCTTCCGGAGAAGAATATGCCTTCAATACAAGCAAACGCAACAAGTCTCTCTGTAAACGAGCTAGAACTGCATTAAATAAATAATTAAAAAAAATCAGTATTAGCAAACTCATCGAAAGTGCGTATACAGAGAATCGCAAGAAATAATATACCTCTTAATCCAATTTAAAGCCCAACTAGCTTTCCGTGCAACACAAGGAATGTTTTCGACTGCATTAAACAATCTGTGCTTTTCGTTCGAGTCCTTTATATATGTTTCCAAAAGCAAGCTATACATCTCTATCGAGAACCGTGACAAAATTTAGAATCAGCTTTGTTAAAGCATGAAATTATCACAAAAATTACTACGAGGATCGGTTAAAGATCTTTACCAGAATGTATGTTTTCCATAGCAGTTTGGAATCCATAAAATGCTCGAGCCTATCGACAACCATCGAAGAAATCAATATCGTAAAAAAAATAATGTTGAACGAAGTAACCTTTATGCACAAGAACTATATATATCTGAGAAGAGGCAAATAAACACGACGAGAAGAACAAATATGCAATAAATGAAACGAGAATTACATGGCGACAAAAACCCTTTCAAATGCATCGACTAATTCTAACACTACTTCAATAATCGAATAGCGGTACATAGTCGATGGGAAGCGGTTTGTCGTACACGAGCATCCTCTACAAAAAACCAACAACAGTTACATTTATTAAAAAAAAAAAAAAAAAAAAAAAACAGTTAAATTTCGACATCTATATGTCGATTTTTGACCATAAAATCGACACCTTGGTGTTGATTTTTATGAGTGTTTCTCGACATCTTGTAGATGTCGATTCCTCATAAAAAAATCGACATCTTGGTGTCGAATTGTATGATAAGAAATCGACATCTTTAAGATGTCGAATCATAGCATACAAAATCGACCTGCAAATGTCGAATTTTTCCTTTGAAAAACGACATTTGCAGGTCGAATGAAAATGAAGAACAACAAATCAAAAATCTGCTCTCCAGACAACAATTCATCAACAAAAGCTTCTTAATGTCATTTTAACATAATAAAACTATGGATTTATCGAATTTAAATAACCATTTTCGAAATTTTCAAACAAAGTTCATAAATACCTGCGGCGGCGGCGTCGGCGGCGGCGTTGCTGGGCAGGTTTGGGTCACTCATGATTGTGAGAGGCGGGGCTGGCGGTGGCGGCGATCAGTGGTGGAACTTGGGCGGCGGAGCTTAGGCCGCGGAGCTTGGACGGCGGAAGTTTAACGACGGAGAAGGTGGGTGTGAAGAGGGGGCTGTTTGTTTTTCCAATTCACGCACAATGTCTCTTTTTTTTTTTTTTTTTTAGTTTTTTTAGTTTTTGTTTTTCCTCATTATTTGTATTTGGTCTTGCATAAGAAAAAAAAACAATTTAACTTATGGATATATTTGTCATTTCATCTCAATAAAATAGAATCTTTTGGGAATCTTTCTTTAATTTGGTCTTACACAAGTGGAATTAGTATTGCATATAGCCCCAGCCTTACAAATATTGTGTTGGAAGAAGATAAGTGTAGGAATACGAGAGCAACCACCACCTTTTATACTTGAAAATAGTTGCTGCAATTCTTTTTTTTCTTTTTTTTTTCCTTTCTTGAACATCAAAATAGTTGTCAGTTTATCCTCTAAAATTTAGTTTTCAAAGTCTTTTTGAAATTTAGTTTCTCGAAATCTTTTGGAATATACCGTTCTAATTTAGCATTTTTATTAATAATATTGTTATTTTGAATAATTTTTTAAATGATCGTTAAATATTGTCGTTTGAACATGCATGTTGAAATATAGTTGTTAAAATTAATTCAAAACTAAAATGTTGTAAAATAATAAAATATAATAATTATGTAAAATATAAACAATGTTGTTGGAGTGTGATGTTAAAAGTAGTGTTGCATAACACTGTTCACCTCTTAAATTATAACCTCTTAAATTATAGATATAGACAACTGATTTTTAAAGAAGAGTTGGATAGGGCTGGGCATTTGGGATCGGGATTCGGGATCCCGTCCCGTCCCGATCGGAATTTTACTATTTGGGACTAAAACTTCAGGAATTCGGGATTACGGGATTCGGGATTGGGATTATGAACAAATACGGGATCGGTATTAGGGAATTGGTTCAATCCCGATCGGGATATTTTAATCCCGAATTAGGAAAAAAAGAAAAAAAAAAACTAATAAAAAAATGCACACACACACACACACACACACACACACACACACACACACATATATATATATATATATATATATATATATATATATAGTGTAAAGGAAATGAGAAATACAATATAAAATATATTGTTTCAACTTATTTTTAAATTTTTAAAATTTTATTTGTTCCAAGTTTTGTGGTAAAAATAAATAAGCCAAGAACAATAGTATGTATATAATATATTCAAGTTGGTTTAGTGTATAAAATAATACTAATGGAAAAAAAATGTAATATTTCTTAGTTTTTAGGCAAAATATGGGATTTCCTGATCCCAATCCCGATTCCCGAAATATTTAGGGATACCGATATAATCGGGATTTAATAGTTTGGGACGGGATTGGGATTTAAAATTTCTATCCCGATCCCGAAAATCCCGAATTCCCGAAATCCCGTCCCGAACTCACCCCTAGAGTTGGAGAAGGCCTTATATGCCAATACTAGATGTGCAAGCCCATACTTGCATTGGAGAAACCGAGGGAAAATGACATTTATCACTAAACAAAGAATAATAAATTTCCAAACCAAGAATCTCTCCTTATATTTAGCCACAAAGCCTCCTTCTCTGTCTTTCCAAATCCCATACAAATGGCAACCTCCGCCTTCAAATCCCCTTTCAGACGAGGTACAGCGGCAGAACCCAAAGCCCCTCCCTCACGGCGGCGATCCCACAGCGTCAGCGCAGTTTCCCGGAAATCCCACCCCCCACTCAACAACAGCATTCCGATCGCCGCCGATTTTTCCAACAGTAGAGAAAACCCTCTTTTCTGGGCTACACCTTCTTCACCACCCGCCGGAGAAGAAAATGGGAACACAGCCGCAATCGCTGCTAGAGATAACAAACAACCGTATTCCCCGAACGCAAGAAATTCAACAAACGGCAATGGCGGCAGCAGCAAATCTGTTGGCGAGCAGAGGGGCCGCTCAATCACACGGAGCTTCAGCGAAAACAACGGAATCGGCCGCAGTTTGTCGAGGGTTCGGCGGCGGTCTGCGTCGAGAGCCCCTAGTAAAGGAGCTTATGAGGTTGGGATTATTAATTTAAGTTTTTCTCAGTTGTGAATGTGTTTTAGTGTGTGCAAATGTTTGATTCCAATATGAAATTCTCGATTTTCTTCGATTTGATTGATAAGTATTATTGCCTCAATTTGATTGCAAAATACGGTAGAACCTCGATAAATTAATTAACCACACTTAAATAATAAATTCTTCCGATCCCATCCCAACTTGGTGAGAACGTGCTAAATTATTAACTCGATTATTTAATATTTCGCTAAATTAATAGAATTTCCCTAGTCCCGACTGTATTAATTTATAGAGGTTTAACTGTAGTGTAGTGATCTTGAAATGGTTAATAAAACTAGTATATCGAAATGGTAAAGTGAAAGCGCATAGGGTCGTTGCAGTAATATTTATTAGGTTTAATAATGTATCATTGCTTGCTAATTGAAAAATCGGCTATTTTTCCGTGTACTAATTCCTTTATACATTTGTGGTTGTTTTGTTCTCGACAGAGCGAAAACGATCAGGTTATGGTAGCATCGATTAAAAAGATCGGTAATGGTATGAATAGAAATAGCATAGTTAAAAACAGGGTAGAAAAACGCGGCCATGCAAAGGGTAGAGGAGTAATTTCATCTCAGAATCGAGCGACAGAGTGGTCTGAAGATGATTCTGCTGTGAGTATGGGTTGAGCTTTTATTTATTCAATTCACTACTAATTTTTTCATGGTTAGTGACGACGATGATTTGAAACCCTAATAAACAAGGTGTACACATTTTAGTGCAGTTTGCAAATATCAAATTTGGAGGACGGAATTTCAGTTGGTTCGTTATCGGAAGCTGAAGAGTTGAGTGTAAGTTCGTACTGTTGATGTTACGGGCTCGTGTTCATCTTTCAGATTTTTTCCCCTTTTGTTTTTACTCCTCGTTCTCGTTTTTAATGTAATACGAATGCTGTTTTTATTGTTCGTTTCAAGATTATAACGAACACTTAATCAAGATTTACGTATCAAATGCATAGATACCGATTTTTTTTTGCGTTTCATTTTTTAGTGGACATTGATTTGACTAGTTGCCTGTTTGCTATTTGAGTTCAGGCTTTTCGATGTAATAATGTCAAAAGTGTTACAGCTACAAACGTTGCTCGTAAGCCTTCGGATTTAGTTAACCCCGGGACGGTTGAATTGATCTCAGACATAAGAAGAGAATATTCCACAAAATTAGAAGAGGTGAATATTTTTTTATTTTTTTTCTGGCAAATATTCTCTCCCCGTAAAAGTCACAGAAAAATTACCTAAAACACATTGATTGTTGCAGTCTGAAGAACGTGCTAGAAAACTTAGAGAGGATCTTGCTATTGAAGAGCAGCGTGGGCAAGAGCTGGATCGAGTACTGACCGAGATACTTCCCGATCCAAAGACTTCTGCTATACAGAGATCTCGTCGAGAAAGAAGGGTAATAACCACCATATATTGAGCTATTTTTTTTCTTTTTTTTTTCAATTGATAAGGATTCTTTATTATGTTTAACTGTTACATTAGCTTCTTATTTTAAAGGGTCTATTTTACATAGGGTAAATTACAAATTACGAAAAAACCCCTTCTGATTGGGTAATTACAACCACCCCTTACTATGAATCTTCTTATACGTTCACCCTTGCGGTGTCAAATTTAGTGGAATCTTTTAGATTATGTGGAATAGATTATGTGGAATATTCTCCAGTTTGTACCCGTTTTACCCCATTCGAGCTACACATTTTGAAACAAGATGATCATAAGATGTGTCACTTGGCTTGTAAATATTAGGTTGTGGTGCATTAAAGGCTGCAATTTTGCATAAAACGAGTACAAACTAGAGAACATTTCACGGAATCTAGAAGATTATGTTGAATTTGACACCGTGAGGGTGGACGTGCGAGAAGATTCATAGTTGAGGGGTGGTTGTAATTACCCAAACAAGAGATTTTTTTTAGTAATTTGACCTTACCTCGAGGGTGATTGTAATTTACCCTAGAATTACATGAGAAGAAAATATTGCATTCAAAGACTTTCTCGGGAATGTCTGGCTTTTGTAGAGAATTTATATAAATGTAGTCTCCGTGGTTAACTTGTGTTAATGGATTTACCTATGCTGATTTGCATATCCGCTTTCGGTTCCTTAATAAATATGCACAATACTTGTGACATTTTCCAGCTAAAGATGACTGTTGATTTTTGTTTTGTGGTAGACGAGCAAAGAAAGAAAGAGGATGTCGAAACGCCTGAGTGAAGAAGCCATGTCGTATTTTGACGAGTGTGTGTCCTTGTCTACTTTTGATAGCTCCGACTTGTCTGCGTCAGAAGACCTATTTGTGGGTGTTTCGTCTCTGTTAGACGCAAGTCCAACCACTTCATTTTGTTATGACCAAAAACAGGTTCCTTTCTTTACTCAAAAGTTAATTTAACCATATTTGATAATTTATTTAGCTGATTTAAAATCTTTGCAACTCTCTGCTATCCTTAGTCACATGCCTGCAGTTTCAGACAGTGAAAGATACAAACGTTTACATGAATACATGTTTATTGTTCACACACACACACACACACACACGCACACACACATATTAATTTCTGATATTTGGTGGGCAGGTGCAGCCGCTCTATAACCGTGAGGATTCTGTATTGACTTCTCAATTTTACGAGTTCTCATTCGCGGACAAAAAGCCAAAAAACGCCGAATCTGAAGAAGAAATCAAGAATTACATCAAGAAGTTAGAGAGAGGCACTAAGAGAAACGATGACTTGGAGGCCACAATATCGTACTACGATGCTGGAGAATATAGCCGAGTCGAAAGTGTATTATTAATGGACAGGGTAATGTACAAGAGCAGCATAGAGTCGGGGGGCTTACTTTTATGTGGAGGCGCCATCTCGGTTTTTCCTTTCGGCTCGGTTATGTGAAGTGTTTCGTTTTCCAATAAGCAGCGCGAAGTAGTGTTTTTGTATATGTAAAATGATGTCTTCTTGTCTAAGTGTGGCATGGTGAGTGAGGTGCAACCCCTCTTGTCTGTGGCTGTAATAAGCACTGTCATGATCAATTGTATAAATATTTTTAGTGTTTATAGAGTACCTCTAGATTCAATTGGTGCAATGTTCAGTTTTATACTTCCAAATTTAAAGAAGGGTAAATTACAGTCATCTCCCCGAGGTAAAGCTAAATTACGAAAAAATTCCTCATACTTGGGTAATTATAACAACTCTTCAACTATGTATTTTCCCCGAGGTAATTATTACAGTCCGCCCCATTTGGAAAACTTGCATCGACATTTATTTTAACAATACCCACTAGTACCGGTGATTTCCATATGCTGGGATGGCGTTGTGTCGATGAGATCTCTGGTGGAAATTGTGCTTGTTTGTACGACTCCAGATACGAGGCACTCCAATTGATAAAGTCTATCGGCTTGAGTTCTAGTTCTCCCTGCATCTCGTTATTCCTAGATTCCCAAGCTCTCCAGCTTATGATTATTGCGAGCTGCAGAGTATCTTCATTCCAATCTCGTTGTGTTCTTTCGAAACAATTCCACCTAGAAAGAAAAACAGACCTACCGTCAATTGCAAATGGCTGCTCAGCCCAAAACTTTTCCATGTCACGACAACATAGAGCGACATGCAAGAACGTTTCATACAGATTGGGAAATCAGTTATTTTCCGGTCGAAAAAGTTCAGCTCCGGTAGGTAAAAAGATCTAACTTTTGGCAGAAGTGAAATGCTCCAAATCTTGTCCCATTTTCTGGCAACCTCACCACCACTTCTAGAACCATCTCGCATAATTCGATTTTGCACCGAGTTGCAAGCGACCGATACTATAATATGACAGTACGAGCTCACTGTAAACCCCCCATGATTCGAGTAGTGCCAAATCCAGATATGCTCCACTTGGCAAGCTCCTATCGGAATAGCCAATATACGATCGCGGTTAACATGCCAAAAAAGTTCATCAATGAGAGTTTTGTTCCAAGCACCGGTTGTATTATTATGTATGTCGGACATTAAATGTATTTCGATTGGAATATTTTGATGAGTTTACGAACTTCTTAATCATTTATTCTAAAGTTGTCCGCTTAATGGTGCATATTTATATGAATTTTGCCCATAAGTAAATTCAAATATTCTAATCTCCATCGCCCTCGAGGCTATCATTCCTTGGCCCGACAAGTATTTGATGGAAGAATGTAAATCATGATGACTCATCGGCCCTCTTAAAACTGATGAACAATGAACATAGTAGAATATTTTATGTGTATTTTTCTCAATAGAGGTATGTGTATTTGTACACGAAAGAATAAAACTAAACAAGTGAAAGCTAATTACAATGAAATCAAATTCCTAAATTATACACTAATCAAATATTCAAATCTCACAATTATAGTATCCATATCTAATCATATCCCATAATTATGGTATCAATATATCTTAACACCCCCTCAAACTCAAGTTGGGTCAACACATCCCAAATGGAGTTTGGAAACAATTGTGTTGAACCAACCGACTAGGTGAATGCACTTTAGTAAAAAGATCATTAGTCTGAGCAACAAAACTTGACAAACAAAAGTTTCTTGACAGATAAAAGATGACATAAAATAAATTCTCTAGAACTCCCTCTCAAATTAGAAGAGTATGCATCAGACAACTCGACAGATCATGATCTCAAATAGGGAATTTCACCATTCTCTTCTCGAACAAAAGACAAGGCTGACAGTAAGAGAAGAGGAAAAGGCTGCCAACGTGGGCATATAATACTGCTGCCAATCAAGGGCAGATAAGGCTGCCAACAACGCCAGATGATAAGGCTGCCAATGAGGCAGATGACAAGGCTGCCAACAAAGCAGATGCCAACAACGACATATGAAAAGATTGACAACAATGGCAGAGGCGAATTTGCAGTACCATATCAAGGCGAGAATCAAAAACACTTTGTAGAGAGAAAAAAAGGATAAAATCACCAAAAAAATATTAATCTGACTGAAATAGGAGATTACCACCACAAGAAGATTTGCGAGAGGCCGACGAAATGATGGAGAACAAGACACCGGAAAAATGAAAACCGGAGGGGAGCTCATGCAACAGTGCGTGAGTTAACAGCGGTGGAAAGTGGTGGCACGTGAGGCTTACACGCGCAGTTTTTTGGCAGCGAACATGGCGGGGTGTGCAGATCGGCGGCCGGCAATGTGAATGGAAGGGGTGGCGAGAAAAGAGGCGGCTGGGAATATGCATTTTCGAGAGAATATGTTTCGGAGAGATGGAGAAAAAGCCTAAGATTTTATCCCTGGCTTTCATACCATGTTAAAACTAATGAATAATTAACATTATTGAATATTTTATGTGTATTCTTCTCAATAAAGGTATGGATATTTATACACAAAAGAATAAAGCTAAACAAAGAAAAGCTAATTACAATCAAATCAAATTCCTAAATTACACACTAATCAAATCCTACAATCATGGTGATATGTCTAATTGAGCCGATCCAATGAGCTCACGATTTATTTATTTACTGGCCACGAGCCCAACTTGAAAGACCACTACAACGAAAGCTCAAACACCTTGAAATAAGGTTGGAGCCCAACAAAGTAAATCCAACCCACTCAACGAGATATAAATAAATGTTTTACTCATTTGGTATATGATTCATAACAACTCTAGTGTTTACACTCTCTCTACAATCTCCACAATCCTTATATCTGACTTGAGCGTTGCAGGGGTTTCCGCCGGATCAACCCCGATTTAGTTCACGTGTGTTACATTCGCAGAGACCTTAGGACCATCCAACTCGTGATCCACTTTACTCTCCCAACTCGTTTTACTACACTACCTAAGGTAATCTAAGTATTAGCATTATCAGGTACCCATATATTAATATCTAATCATATCCCATAACTATGGTACCAATATATCTTAACATGCCCGTTAGAGTAGGGGCAAATATTCTAATCTTAATCGTATGTTTGATTATACATATGCGATTAATTAGTCTCTCTACTTCGATCCAGTCCTCCCATATCACAACTTATAAAGTTATTAAATTTTATATCTATGTCCAATACATGAAAATATTCTATATATCTACCAATTTTAAAAGTATGATTTTTTTTGTTTCTTAACATTTTTGTACTTCTTATTATGCCCCTTATAACAAAGTTATACCATCGATTAGTTATGGTCAATTAGGTAATAATATAAATGAAAATAATAAATTAACATAGCTTAATAATGTAGTTAAAATATTAAATGTCTGTTCATGTGCTATATGTATACCCAGGTGAGTTTATTTTCTTCTTACTGTAATGTTTTCTACATATCAAAAATTTCGATGTAATTTAATTTGTATAAAACTACATTTGAAGAGATTTCCAATGATATATTATAAGAATATATATGTAAAAATTTATTTTAAAATAAATTCTTTTATTTTAAGTTAAACATTAGGTAGCTAAAGTAGTTTCCAATTTTAAATTAGTTTTCATCTAATTTTTATCACGTAAATTCTACAAATATGAAAAATGTAATAACGTAAACTCAAACTAATTACTATTTACTAATACAAGTAATAATATTTATATTATGTTATATTAAAAGTATGATAATCTTTTTATATATTACAATTTATTTCGAAAGTCGAAGTTTATTTTCTTAAATTCTTAAATAAAATGTATTTCACACAAAACTCATAATAAAGTTAGTCAGTGACATATCATAAACATGTAAATAAATGTTATTAGGCTAATATAATATTATTAAGAAATAACATAAAAATATAATATTATTAGGTTAATTAGGATTATTAGGTTAATAATAATGCATATTACTTATTTTTTATAATATAATTTTACTGTCCATGACCAGTTAGTATACTGGAAAAGATGTTAAAATTTGTATTTTTTTTGTTAAAGTTACATTTCAAGAGTTTTTCAATAATCATATGTATATAAATAAGTAATCACATAAAACTGACTTTGCATTTTTAAATTGAGGGCTCCGCATTTAATGTCTTATTAATCTTTAAATATAATAATTAGCCTTATTATATACTCCCTCCGTCCTATATTAGATGTTGTTTTGGGTGGTTGCACTTATTAAGAAACTCAATAAATATACATATATTATACCAAAAATAACATAGTAAATGCTAAAATATCCTTGTCACGAATTATTTGTTAATTAACTAATTAAGAGTGATAAGGGGAAAATTTGATAAAAAATGCAATTAACGCTTTAGTGGAACTCTAAAATGACAAATAATTTGGGGAAAAAAACACCAAAAAAAGACAATAATATGGGACATAGAGAGTGCTTAATAATTGGTCTAATTATTTACTTAATGTTGTAAAATGGCCTATTTATCTAGCTCTTTGGTTTGTGTTTGTGGAAATACATAAGAATGTAAATAACAAGACAAAGAGAGAAAGAGAGAATGCAAAGAACAAGAATCTGTAGAGAGAAAATTGTGGGATACGTGGGGAGGGAGTGTTTCTCATTTATATAGGTGGTAGCCACCGGGAAGTTACAAAGGAGTTACATGTGGAAGTTACGTAGAAGTTACATCGCCACTAACACCATATATAGATATGGGAAGTTAATAAACTAGTGGGAAGTTGAAAACCATCAAGTGGTTATGTTAGGAAACCACACATTCCATACTATTTACAACACTCCCCCTTGGGTTCCTATCAAACCACTATTGTGCTTTTTGTGTTGCCTCGTTAAAACCTTCCGAGTCATAAAACCCCTTGGGAAAAAACAATCTCGGTTAGGGAAAAGAGTACAACGCACAATCTTTTCAATCAACAAATGTTGCCTTATTAAAACCTTGTCGAGTAACTAAAACCCTGTGGGAAAAATAAACCTCGCACGAAGGAAAAAGAGTACAACAGGGCACTCGAGTATCTTCTGGATACTGAGTACCTACAGGGTACTCCCCCTCAAGTTAACTCCCCCTGATGTCTACAAGGGAGCGACCTTGTATAATCTACGCAAGTCAGCATCCTTAACATACTTTTCCAAAGTGACTTTAGGCGAAAACTTAGTGAATAAGTGAGCGTAGTTATCATGTTTCATGATCTACTGAATCA